TTCCATACAAGGAAGCGAAGACTGCCGCTCCGCAAAGCTGAAAGTGGACGAGTACAATAAGGTGTTGTACTGTGACATTGTAATAAGTAAGAGATTGTTATACTTAGCACTGTTTATTACCACCTCGATACGTATTATACAAAAGAGAGTACTAACGAGTGGACTTTCAATCATGTTTTGTAAATGCACCACCACTCTTTCTTATGCAGCGAATTTAGTTGGCTTGTATTGGCCCCGTAGCAACACAATGCAATGGTGGGACTTCTAAAATATCTTTTTCCATTAAAATGAAAATGACTTTGATTGAACTTTCTCTTAAAAAAGTCGCTATGATTCTCAATAGCATAGGCTTTTCTCCTGATTTTTTTCTTGAACCACTTTAGCGTGCTACAGACGTCTCAACTTAGACCAAAGTGGTGTTTTTACCAAGTTCAGGATTTTATTTTAGAGCCTATGCACCACACACTGGCAAAAGAAATATATTGTACCTAGTACGTTTTATGGAAAGTTTGGTAGAAGTAATTTATGGATTCTATCGATGATTGTGGTCCGTAGAAAAATTTTCGAAAAGACTACAATTTACTCCATTTTGTCTAGCGCTCTAAAGCGTGAAAATTTTCAAGCTGTCATGAACAGTTGTTTTATAATGAAAGCATATTGCTATGTAGACGCAAAAAAAGCAAGTATCGGAAAAATCTGCTAAACGGTCAATTATAGGGAATTATTTTTTCGTACCTGGCTTTCCTTCATTTCATGAACTTCAAGTCGTGGTCACGGACGCAAAAAATTTTTGCCGCTCAAAATATTTTAAGAAAATACTTTAGAGCTAATGCCTATACTTGTGTAATTTTCTAAATATATTTAATGAAATTAATTTTTGCGAGCACCTTGGTTGGGACAGTTAGCATAGAATGACCCATATACATACATCATTTACCTCTGGCTTACTGTCTATGGACCTAAAAAAACGTTCTTGAACAAAGCGTGTATATTGCTTGGACAAGCCATACATGCTTTACCTAAACATTGACATGTCTGGTGGCTTGGCATGTCCGATGGCTTGGTCACTGGAGCGGTGGGCTCACTGAAGCACATACAGTTGGATGAAAAGAACATTCCAAAATGTCTCTCGCTCCACTTTCACTCTGAAGCAACAGAAAAAATTATATGCATCAAGTCCAGGTCTAATCAAAAAGTTGCTGGTCCTGTGGTGCCTGTGAATGTCTATCCCATCGAAATGCGCCCGCTACTTTCATTTAAGAGGACAAACTCAACTCGCTGCCGTAGGTGAGTTGTGGTGATGCCTCGCAACAGTGCACATCTCATTAGGAACCTCGTAGACCTGCCGTCATGAGCTTCGTGCTGCAACCGTGCGGTGTTCCTACAGGATGTGCCAGTGATAGTCACTGGAGACTTCAACGTTAATGTACTTTGACGTGTAAACTACTAGCTTCCCGCATTTCGCGTGCTGAAATTCTCGATGCTGAAGTGGCTTGAAAATCATCCTGTAAGTGGTCACATGCATACAAAGCATTTTTTTTTTTTTGCTGTTGCACATAATCTGCATCATACAGTCGGCCGACATATTTTTTAGACTTCAAAAACTCGAACTTGTTGGATAATTCAAACTTCACAAATGCACCATCAAGGTTCCCATTGCACTAATGCATTTTTGGGACGGATTTTTCAGACGAATTTATGTTCCAAAGTTCAATATTCCGGACTAAGTCGTTTGTTTTGAGCAACGCCCCCTCTAGAAAAATGCCTACGAATTGAGCCGAAAATCTGGTTCCCGGCCCTCTCCTGTTCTCTCCTCCTCCGCTCCCCAAACATTGTCGGCCGTCAGCATTTGCTGCAGCGGCTGCTTTAAACCTTGTCACCTCTGAGATCAAAGCAATGTCTACTGCCGTCTCGGAGGCAACACAGTTGTGTGTCTGTGATGGCGTCACTTTCGAATCGAGTAGAAGTAGTAGTGTTGGCTGTGAGCACTCCTTGCGGAGAAAGCGCTGAACTACGAGGAACCTCCCGCCCCATAGGAAAGCGTGCGATGTCGCAGGCATCTTTCTGAAGTAGGCGTTGTTTTGAGCTATGCCACTCGATTTTGAAAGCAGCAATGTTGGATTTCTTGTTGGCTTGATCATGTTTGGCTTGCAGTGACTAGTGGAGTGGCCACCAAGATTGGAAGCGCGTACTATCTTTCAGTTTTGGAGGCCATGTTTGATCAGCATCAAAATGGCAAAACTTTTCTTTTTCAGTTGGCCTTCTCATCATCATTAATACGTCGCTAGGTTGTCTTTATTTTCTGTATAATTTTATGGGCGTTTGTTTTTCTAGTCCTCATTGCGCACTGTCAAGAATTTAATTTCAGGAGCGCTTGCAAGGGACTGGATTGAGAGAGACAAGAGATGGGCGTCGCAAAAATACACACTTTATCACATAAAGAAAAGCCAAAAATCGAAAGCAGAGACAAACACTCGCGGACACACAAAGTTACATCAATACAGCACAAACAAAACATGCCATAAACCAGTCTCAGTCTGTTCTTAGCCCTAGCCACTACGCCTAATTCAATATGGCATCTCAACAATTGAACATTCTTACAGTTCACGTCGGTTTTTCTTCATTGACGTGTCAGTGGTTTCTCAAGTACGATGTTGACGTGCTGCTCCACTTCTTATGGTCGCCGTCGGTTGATCCCACTTAACGAGCTGCTCTTCCTCATCGCCAGTGTCCCAATCTTCGTTTTCATCTTCAGCTTCGCTGGGCTAGGCGTAGCTCGTCATGGATCAGCGAAATATAGTCAAATCTGTATATATCATACTCGAAGGAGATCGCGAAAGAGTTCGATATATTGATAATTTGAACTGCAAAATAAGTGTGTTTAAAACCTAGACTAAAGCCTTTCGGGCCTCACAAATTTTTGCAAGCGCTGACAACGATTCGCTCACAGTCTAATGAAGAACAAGGGGTGTACTGGAAGTTAGCGCACTTTATTTTGCATGAACATCGTTCATAAGCTTGTCTTGCTTCTTGCGCGCCAACAAGTTTCAGTCATACTTATAATCATTGAAACTTTTTGAATAATTGAATTCATCTCATTCGACCTCAACAGCATTGACCGGCTTAGAATGCCAATACAAGCTTAGTAGCGCAGCAAAATGTTGATTAGTGGTGGCAGCGAAGTCGTTTGCATATTCATAGCCGTACAGTTACAGTTCTGCGGCACAAGCAATGGAAGCCATGATCTCAGCATCGATGCAGTCAGAAACAGCTACTTCAATGATGGTGCCAGAAAAACCTGATAAGTTGCAGAGGCACCGTAGGCCATCGTCAGCAATCATAACCCACACAGTTGTCACGTGGCTCACAAGGAAAGTTTACGACGGTGCTTTACTTGACGTCACTCCAAGCGGCTGTAATTTTTTTTATCACTACGTGCAGGCCAAAGTTCTGTTAAACTCCCGAATGAGGATCTATCAGAAACAAGGTGAGAAGTCACAAGTCCACAAGGCGCAAAAGACAATGCCAAGGCACGACGTCTATTTCCCACTGTCGACGTGTTGGCGATATCGATGTCACTTGTGGCTTTGTAGCTGGCAGCCGCAGCTTTCAGCTGCTTTAATGCGAAAAGTTAGAAAAAGCATAGCCTCCGAGATGTGCGCTTAAACCGAAAACACTTAAAATAGGTCACGAGGTTTCACATCTCGAAGGCCATGCTTTGTAGGCTCGTATGCCATTGTGCGTTAACAATCGAAGAAGGGAATGCAAACATTGTAATGAGGTTGCTGAGTCACTTTGCATTCTCATTTTGCTTGTTTTGGTGTCCTCGTCAATGGGTCTTTTGAAAAACATTATGCTTGTGCGTTAGGACCTGCAGATTGTGCATCAAACATACTGGTGCACTCGTGAATGCCGTTCAATGAACTAAGTCAGCGTGATGGAATAACACCGCCGTTCGGTAATGTGCACGCGAAAACGGATCGAAACTTGTTAAAACGTAGCGATAAATTGATGAATATTTGCTGGGAGAAATACTCTTTCTGGGCTTCGGGGTGGCACAGCGTTCGATATAGTAGACATCCCGCTGTGCGGGAGTTCGATATACAGACGAACTGATCCTGTACTTTGCATGGGAAATTCAAGGGGGTTTCACAGCTGATCGATATAGCCAGTAATTTTATATGTCTGAGTATGGTATATCCGGGATCGACTGTATGCCCATAAAAATTGATCGGTGCACGAAGTTGCATTGACAAGGCTGAAAATTTCTAAGAGCTGCAGACATGTACCAACAAGATTGGTAATTAACTGATATGTACACGCTAGATAGATTTCAGAAGCAGTTTTCAGACGTCGCATGAAAACGCACACAGTGAAACATGATTACGCCATTTCAGAGCATGTGGCAAGACGTACCCATGTGCTTTTTCACCCAGCTGTTGTGGTAGTAACTCTGAATGCTTTGTTCTTCTGAAGCCTGTCGTCAGATGAAGTTCGCATTTTACACTTCACCGTCTGGACCTTTTTAGGCTCACCAATCCTCACAACAACAATTAATTTTTTTATTTGAAACAAACACCAAAGCGAAATAAAACATTTGAAACAATCACCAAATAAACGAAGCCACAAGCATTATGGAACGAATTCATAGCGCAAAAAACTGGCACAGACTTTTTGGTGTTTTGAATTGATTCCGTAATGTGATAGAAACTCACCCAAGCTTCCGGGCTCCTAAGCCACAAGCATGAAGATTAGGCAAATTTATGTACTACCCATCATTTCCATGGTGTTTGAATGATTGCAGCACGCCAAAGTTTCCTCTAGTAAATATTGTTGGGATTATGATGTACAGTAGATTCTGCGTACTAAGTGCATTTGCCTTTTGTTTTATTACTGGGTCTGGCTCATCAGCATTGTTTGGCCTAGCACAGTCATTGTGTTAACTTAAAACATGTTAGTCAAGAAGATAGCGCTGTGTGACCTTATTACTCGGCATGCAGTGCGTCTGCCCTAGACTCGGCAAGCGAGGCAAGTGACCTGACCGACACGAGTGCACGGGAGAGGGCACGCAAGAAAGTGACCAAGCGGCGGCGAGCAGTCCAGATGGAGCAGCGTTGGCCTCGCCTGCTGGTCCTCTCGGTCGAAGGGGGCTCTGTAGTCGAATGCCAACTTGAGTCATCCAAGGGAAAGACAGTGACCTTCAAGTTTGACATACACGACATGTTCCCTCAAGACATTGCCAACAACCTGGTATGAGTCTTGCTTCTTACTCGGCATACTTTATCGGTAGATGTAGCCTAAAACCACAATACCATTGTAACAGAAGAATGCTACTGATATGCAATTTATGCCAGGATACACCTAATGTGAACTCAGCTGCATCTTGTCGCATTTATTCAAAACATATTTGCATTTCTCTGAAATGGAGTGAACGAGTAGCAGTGAGATCCTGGAACCTGTGTGCGAGGATGCATGTCTAGGGCGAACAAGAAATTCTTTAAATAAGGATAGACTATTGGCCTGGTGTGCGACCGATGGCTGCACTGCGGGATTCGCGCTCTTTGGAGGCGTGGTGTATCAAAACAACCATGGTGGTAAAAGTCGGCAAAGATAACGAAGCAAAAAAGACAGGAGGGGAAACTCCGGGCCGGCGCCAGTGGGAGCGCGCGCTGGGATGTCACCCTGGTAGAGGAGGTTGATGAACGTGCGCACAGCGATCCTTGCGGCGACACACAGAACTAATTGTTTTCCGCTGTGAGAGGAGAGCTCCCACGGTCTTCGACTCACCCCGAATGTCGTCTGCGACATCTACCTCTCGGCAGCTCCACTATGTTACTGGATGCAGCTTTGAAAGTTTTTCGCCGGCGCGGTTTTCCAAAACAAAATGAAGCAAGTGGAGCGTCTTAGTGCCTGCATTTTTTAATTATATATATATATATATATATATATATATATATATATATATATATATATATATATATATATATATATATATATATATATATATATATGTTGGATCAGACACTCTTCGGAAAACAAAAAAAATGAAGTGGTAGATTTTAAAAAATGAAGAAAAAAAAACAGTCGATCTGTAATTGTAGCCAGACGCATGCCTAAAATCACTCATTTGTGTAGCTTTAGAATGGATTGTGCAACGTTTTTCATTGTAATTGATATACAGAACTACTGCGTGCGAAAGAAAGACAGGCATTGTTGAAGCACGTTTGAGCAGATGGCAATTGCTTTGAACAAAAGAGCGGAGACTGCCTTGAGCTGTAGATCAATTCGGCATAAAAAAAAAGTTCAACCTCTCAACGCTTCATCTGACCAAGAACAGTAGTGAGAATGGGCGAGGTTTATATGAAGAGGAGGTAGACAATGAAAGCGAAAAGACTGCATCTAGGAAAATTATTTTCACCGCGAAACGGTCGGCAGGCACAACATTACACTAAGTTTAAATTTACAGACATCTCTGACTAGCCAAAAATTTTGTGACTCGCTGAAGCGGCACCTTAAGTTTTTGAGTGGAGGTTTCACTTACTTGTGCCTAGAAATGAAGCCACGAACTGGCTGGAATATTTCTGAAATCACCAGTAAAAGTGGCGCCAAACAAGAGAAGGTAGAGGATACTTGTCAAAAGTCGGAAGTCTTCGGCGAATATTTTACCAACCTCCAAACTTCCAGGTAAGCTACATTGCGAAAAAAGCGTGGTTCTCAGTTTTATGTATTTGGTTGTTGTAGCTTGGCATGAATAATTGGTTCTCTGGAAGTTCCAGCATAAAAATAGCTTCACAAAAGAGCAGACACATGAGAAAAATGTTTTTTTTTTTTTTTCGTGTCTACGTGTCTACTTTTTAAATTTTTTATATGAAAAGTTCCCCCTGTATGTTTTTTTTTTATTAGCGCATATTATATGCCATGTACCCACAAATATTATTTCTACCCTCCCATGCGAAGGTGAAAGAATGAAGGAGAAAGAGTGAAAGTGAGCCTGTTTAGTGCTTGTGTGTTCGTGAAACCATCGCGGTATAGTCTCCCTCACAAGGCTCTTTGGCTAGCTTAGCAAAAACTCGTCATAACCATTTGCCGTCTCGTTTAGTGAGTGAATCTGAGCTATGCACTAATATATTGAGCAGTGAGAGTAAGCGTGGAAGAAGACGACAAAAGCAGGCTCCACGCTTCTCACGTCTGCTGCTCCGGCGCGACAGTTCGGCCGCAGTTCTGTAGGCGGCGCTGTCATGACATTCGCGGCCGCTCCGGGGGGTGACACAATCGTGGTGCGGAAAGAAGCAGAGTTTCTTCTCCTGTCTATTCTTGCTCCGTGGCAAAGATGCAGTTCAATTGATTATCTTGTGTGTGGTGCTTACTGACGCTGCTCTAACAACCGTGGGTGTCTGCTTTCAATGCTCATTTTAAAAGCACAGCACTTGTTTACAGCACTTGTTTTTTTTTATAACTGTAGCCGCCTGTCCCCGCGGCGAGTGCTGCACAATGGTGGAGGACTGCTCTGTGCCTCTACATTGTTACACGAAGACAGTAGACACACGAGCGTAGAGCTGGCGTATTTATGGCCAATATAGCTGCTGCCCAAGTGGCAACAAGAGACGTCGTCTTCTTCTCGTCCGAGTGAGCCTTTTCGTGCTTTTTGCCGCAACATCACCCTCCCGTTGTGCTTAGCTTCTTCCTGGTGTAAATCACACAGCATCACTTAATCTGGGTAGATGAGGCTTGAGTCTGGGAACGTGAACGACGTCACTGCTTACGCGATGTACAATCTCGTACATCACTTCAGACAGATGACGCACGATCTTGTATGGCCCAGAGTAAGGCGAAAGGAGTTTTTCCGCTAAGCCAACATGTTGTGATGGTGTCCTGAGGAGGTGGGAACCAGGAGAAAGCTGTGTTTCTCGGTGCTGATGGTCGTAGCGCCGCTTTTGAAATGCTTGTGATGCTGTCAGGCGATAACGAGCGACCTCTCTGGCATGGGCGGCCGAGGTGATTGCACTGCGGGCGTAATCAGTCGTTGGGAACTGTATGTCAGAGGGTAGTAACGTGTCAGAGGGCAAGACAGGGTCACGGCCATACAAAAAAAAATGGCGAAAATTCGGTGGTGTCATGATGGGCGGAATTGTAAGCAAATGTAATGTAGAGTAAAGCGGTGTCCCAGTCACGGTGGTTGTCAGAAGCACACATGGCAATCATGTCAGTTAGAGTGCGGTTCAGGCACTCGGTGATAATTTTAGATGCGGAGCATCTTATACTCGCGCCTTGTAGTGCGCCGTCCGCACCGCTTCTCGAACATTCGACAGCTGACGCGCGCGCATGCGCCGTCGCGCCGTCGCCCACTCTTCCACCATCTGTGCATCCCTTCCTCCTCTACACACCGCGCGCGCTTCACTCCTCCACCATCTGTGCACCCTTCCTCCTCTACACACCGCGTTCGACATCTACAATTCTCCTGATTCTCCAGTGGACGCGCATGTGGCGTCGCGCTTCGAGAACATTCAACAGCTGACAGTGCATGCGCCGTCGTGCTGTATATATACTCAAGGTCGGCGCTCGCTCGCTCAGTTGCCGCTCGTCGGTTGGTTTGTACGGCGCGTCGACGTCCAAGGTCGCGGTGAAATGAATTCCAACGAATCCACAAACACAATGATCGACGTCCCTTCGACCAGCGCCGCCCTTTCGCATACGTGTGTACGTGTTCACTCATTTAACACCCCCTCCTACAACCACGTTAACCAATTTAGCCATCGACCCAAGTAAGTCGCAATTTAACACCCCATTTCACAACCACGTTAACCAATTTAGCCATCGACCCAAGTAAGTCGCACTTTAACACCCCGTTAACCAATTATATGGTCCGCATCCTCCTCAGTGTTCCCCCAAGGGAAGCTGCGGGCAATTTTTTTGTTCGAAGGTGGTAAGCAGTAGTGATCTTGTGTTCAGTAGAACAGGAGCAGGGCAGGTCATCGACGGCCTTCGACAAAAAGTGACGGCCACGATTCGTTAGCAGCTGTCGAGGGGCGCCGTGGTACAGAATGACATTCAGTAGTAGAGAGTGGGCAGCATCTGTAGCGCAGCTGGTCAGTATCGCTCGCGCAATGGTGTGTTTTGTTGCATAATCTGTTGCGACGGCAATCCACTTTCTCCTTTTGGTAAAAATAGGGAATGGGCCAAGTAGGTCGAGGGCCGCACGGAAGAATGGCGCTGTACAGACTTCAATTGGCTGAAGCAAACCAGCTGGAGGTAAGACAGGCGTCTTCTGTCCCTGACACAGGTCACAAGAAGCGGCATAGCGACTCACAGAACGATAGAGACCGGCCCATAAGAAGCGGCGCCTTATGTGGTAAAAAATTGGAGTGATGATGCCTGTATGGCCAGCAGTGGAAGCGTCGTGAAGTTCTTGGAGTACGGCCAGTCACAGGTGCTTGGGAACAACTACTAACAGCTCAGGACCGTAGGACGGAGCATTGCGGCGGCATAAAATGCCATCGTGCAATGTGAACATTCGGAGTGAAGGATCCGTGAGCATGTAACTTAGGTGGCCCATAATGTTTTCAAGAACAGGGTCTTGTCGTTGCTGGTCACCTATGTGGAGAAAGCCCGATAAGGACAGAGTACAAGTGTCTATGCCAACATCCATGTCGGCCGGCTGATCCACGGGATTGCGAGAAAGGCAGTCAGCATCACCGTGCATGCGTCCATGTTTTTGTACTATCGAGAAGTCATACTCTTGTTGATGTAGTGCCCAATGTGCAAGTCATCCATTTGGGTCCTTCAAAGAGAAAAGCCAATAAAGTGTGTAGTGGTCTGTTACTACGCAAAAGGAACACCCAAGCAAGTAGGGTCAAAATTTTACAAAAGCCCAAATGGGCGCAAGGCATTCTTGCTCAGTTATCGAGTAATAGCGTTCTGGCGCAGAGAGAAGGCGGCTCGCGTAAGCATTGACACGGTCGTGGCCCTGTTGATGCTGAGTGAGAACAGCACTGATGCCATGACTACTCACGTCAGTGCATACTTCAGTGGGCGCAGAAGAGTCAAAGTGCAGGAAAATAGGTGAACTTGTAAGCAGCTCAATAAGGATAGAAAAGGCATGCTCTTGTTGCAGTCCCCAGAAGAAAGACGTATCCTTTTTCAGAAGGTCAGTCGGAGGACGAGCTATGTCGGCAAATTTCTTTACAAAGCGTTGAAGATAGGAGCATAAGCCCATGAAACTGCGGACACCTTTCGTCGACGTAGATAAAGGA